CAAATTTTCAAAAAGTTCCCAAATCGTCAACAATTGATTACCTTTTTGTTTAATTTTTGTTTTTCTCGTTACGGTAATATTTTATAGATGAAAAAAAAAAGTTTCCCAAGTTTTTAGCTCAAAATATTAATTGTTAAATATTAGATGTTTTCGAGCGGCTTTTTAAAATTTATATTAAACTTCAATGAATGTTTACCTTTTAATTAGTGAGATAATCAGTGAAAATACACCACGAGATGAAAAAAAAATCAAACACAATGCTGGAAATATAATTTTTTAATAATTCGATATTTTTATGTAAACAATTACAACATTTTAACGACATTTTGACAACATTTTTACAACATTTTTACAACATTTAAATAAACTTTGTTATGAATTCAGAAAACAAATTGTGAATTTATACAATTTTAAAGCTTATAGTCGCTCGAAAACATCTAAGGCAATGCTTTTGTAAATTAAAAAAAATTATGAGCGACCTTTAAAAATTAATATTTTGAGCCAAAAATTTGGGAAACTTACTTTTTTCGTGTATAAAATATTACCTTAACGAGAAAAACAAACTTAAACAAAAAAAAAACAATTTTTGACGATTTGGGAAATTTGTAAAAATTTGGAGCGACCTCTTAAAAACCTTTTTTGAGCTGTCCTTGGGAGGAGGGTTTTAAAAAATGATAAACTCACTTATTTTCACACGAGACGCAAAAAAAAATAGTCGGTTTTTTGGCGCCACCATAATATACAGGGTGATCAAAACATGGAGCACTAACTCAATGGCATATTATAAGTTCACAAGCCTAAAAAAATCGAGAAAAATTTGAAAAAAAAAATTTTCGCTCTACGTCAAAATTGTTCCAAGTTCCAAGAAAAACATAAATGTGACAATTATTTATTATTTAGGAGTATTACATAAAAAAATTAACCTTTTTCAACCCTAAAATGTTTGAATTTGAGAAGACATTCCACAATTTCTTTACAAAATAACAACCCTTAAGTATCTTTCAATCTTACGTATATTTGTAGGCAGAAAATTCCTTGAAATATTAGAATTCCTAAAAATCCTACAAATTTCCGAAGTTCTAAAAATATGAGAAATCCGATAATCCCAAAAGCACTAGGTGCCATAAAGAATATAGAGATTATACATATCCCAAGAATTCTAAAGCTCAAAGTTTTTGAAATTCCTGAAATTGTGAAAAAACTTACATGCGTAGATCCTCGAGAATTTTAGAGTTTTCAAAAATTCCAGGTATTCACAGATTCTACTAATAGGAAAGATTGCCGCGGGATGGAAATTTTAGAGATTCCGATATTTAAAGGTTATAAATGGCCCAAGGTTCCAGAAAATCCAGGAATTCGAGACATTTAAAATTTCCAAGGTCCTGCAGATCCTAGTGATTGTAGTATTCATTGGTCATAGAAGGTCTAAAGGTTTAGTAGATCTTAAAAACCCAACAAACTTTCGACATTTAAAAAATTCTAGAAATCCTTTACCATCAGAGCTCGCAGAGGCATTACATACGATACAGAGTATATTCTTGAGATTATAAATATTCCAAGAATATTATAGGGTATTTGTAGATTTTAGGCTTTTTAAAGTTTCCAAAGTTGTTTTAAAACCACTAAATATTTTAGAGATACAACAAAATCCAAAACCTTTTGAGATTATTGACATTCTAGAAAATTTAGTAGCGATTCTAAATTTACTGCGTTGAAATTTCCGAGATTCTGAAGATGTCAACAATGCTAGAACCATAGAGGTTTCCATAACATTAGATCCCAGAAAAATCGTAGAGATTATACATATTCCAGGGATACTAGTTATACATTCCAAGGAAATTGTAGATTCCAGCGATTTCAGTGTTTCCATATGTAATTTAAATGCGTAAAATATTCCATAGATGATAGAAGTTTAAAACTTTTTGAGAGTTATAAAATTCTTGAAATAACTAATACCTTTCTAAGAATTATAGTGATTCCAAAAATTCCAGGTATTCAAAGCTTCTACGGGTTTGAGAGGGTATAGAATCTGCAGCGACATAAAAATTATATAAATTGAGAACTTGCATAAATATTTAAGATCCTTGAAACCTAGGGTCTGAGGGACTTTAGAATCCAAAAATTCTAGAGATTGTAGATAAAATTTATATGAATTTTTGACGTTTTAAAAATCTTAGAAATATTTAAATCTCAGAGATCACGGAGACACTAAATACGGTAGAGAATCTAAAGATCATAAATATTCCGAGGATATTCCAGTTAATTTATAGATTTCACGGATTTTAAAATTTTCAATGATGCAACATGTTCTAAACTAAATATTGTAGAGAAAATCCAAAACCTTTTGACATTCCTAAGGTTCTCAAGATAATTGAGATTGTATAGAATTTAAAAATATAAGGGACTCTAAATTTATTACATTGAAGTTATCATTACAAAATATTACTGTCCTCCAGACAATAGGCAATTTTTTTCTTTTGTCTAAAAATTTCAGGAAATATAGCATCTGACCAGAAAAACAGGCATCCGTAATAAATTAAGCAGTGATTATTTATTTCTTTACTTTTTTTTAATTAAAAAAAATATAAAATGCGTATTATGACCTTTTAAAACACTAAATTTCTTCATTTTTTATCGACGTTTCATAACTTCTAGAGTACTAAAAAATAGGTCCCCGTTTTTGACTCCATGGATTTTATTAGATCTCTCCAAAATTATTGGACTGATTGTTGTAAAGTTTGACTTGCGTTTTGGAAATCTTGTGCAGAAGGTAAAACGCCAAACAAAATTATGGCTCACCCCCACCAACAATTTGATGACGCCTCCTAGAAATTTTGCATAATAAATGTTATTTCAATTTTATAAAACAACATACTTCTGAACTTTCTTTTTACTTGCAGGGGTTGCCATAAAAAATAAATTCGCTAAATCAAACTTAGTAGGAGCTGTACTTGTTGGTTTTGGGTCGAGGCTTCCTTCTGCTTAATGTCTTATTAGACCAGTTTTTTTATTTTAAGAACAGGTGCAACAAAACATTAATAAAAAATATTCGAGTAAACATTATAAAGATAAATAACACTAATTAAGTATATAGCAATATAAATGAAAATAAATTCTCTTTATTGTTCAAACATGACACGGAATCGCATACTTGAGAATGTGTGTTAACATACGTGAGAAACGAAAATTACAGTAACTAAACAGAATACAAAGTGCTGTCAAAGACTGAATAAACACAGTTAAAACCCATAACTTTTGATTTTTCGTGATACTTTCAGAGTTTTAACAAATAATAACTGAAAAACTAAACAAAATTTAAAAAAATCGGATCTGTTTCCGCATACATCAAAATCCAAATACAACGTAAATAATTAATGAAATCTTACAAGACTCGGTGCTGAGACCCCTACTATTCTTAATATTTTGTAACGACATTCCTCACGATGTACAGGAAAATGGATAGTGTTCTTTGTTGTAAACTCAACTATTTGCAATAAAAGCAAGAACTGAAGAAGTAATAAGCAAGTGAGAGAGCGCGGTCAAAGGCATCAGACTGACGCTGCAATAACAGGTTAATACTGAATGAGAGGAAAAGCACCGACCTGTTGTACGCTTTAAAAATGTTACAGATCGTCATCAACTTCCTAGTTTAGTGCCGTAACAGATCTAAGTTCTGATTTAGTCAAGAAATAATTAAAACTATCTTTCAGTCAAAATTTTAAGAAAAGTCAAAATATTCCCGTTCAAACTTTTACTTATTATATTCACCTGATGGTGACCTACACAGCTGCTTTAAACGGGTATAAAAAGGTGCTGCGTTCGCCAAATAAATTATGTTAATCGTTCAGTCAAAAAAAGAATGCATTTCTAAATTTTACTATAATAATTTTTTCAAATTAAAACCTCTCACACCTTGAAACATATTTGGCGTTGAATGTTCACCGTACAATTTTGAAATATCATCTTTCTAAATAAATAAAATTCACGGACACGATGCCAAGCCAGCGGTGGCGAATTGATTTCAATGAAACGGAACAAATCATTCATCGAGTTTGAGTTCACAGAACCTCGAGATTCTACCATGGTTTTTTTTGTAGTGTTACGTACACTTACGCACAATTACAGAATCCAAGAGATTACACTTTCAAGCAAAAAAAAGACGCCTGTCCGGATTTAGACTCGCGAAAGTAGCATTACTTTTCCCAATTTACATAAATAAAGAGTGGATGTTATAACAGGCATAGTTTTATAACTGCTCAGCATTTCCGTAACATTTCGAAACACATTACACCGCCCGAAGGCGTTTTTCGGTGATACTATTTTATTAAACAGGAACCAGGTGCCGTTCTAAAATGCGATTGTCTTGAGTGGATAGATGCTCAAGTTCCGTTACGAAACTTTCTTTCCATAGGCCTTGACCTCCATCATATGAGCAGGAATCGATATGATAATCTGTTTTCTATAATCTCGTAACAAAGACAAAGATGCAAATTATGTGCGTCGACACGCTTTCAATCACTGTGGCTTTGTTCGTGATGATGCCACTCAAAGGACGAAACATGGTGGGTGTAGATTTATAATTACGCTAACTAAATAATTAGCAAGATTAAGCTTTAACTAGACATTGTTAGTAGGTACTTTTTACTCGGATTAAAAAAATAGTAATAAGTACATACAACAAAAATATTGTGACAGTATGTTCCTTTTACTTGTTTTTGCCCCACTCTTAAATCCGTCACTGCAACATATTATTATTTATCATTACCGCTGCCGAAATAGACCCGGTAAAAAATGACCACATTCTGGCCACTAGTTAACCCACTAAATTTCTCCAGCTCTCGCTGGAAAAAAATGCATGTGTGCCACTTTTTTAACACCAAAGTTGCAAATTGTAATGGAATCTGGGTCTCTAATTAACACAAATTCATATTTTTACGCATTTTTTGATAATCGAGATTTTATCGAAGCGACTAATTATATCCTGTTTCTTTTTTTTCCAGACCGCAGTTTTGACGGTAGTTTTGTTACCCATTCGAGTTTCCATTATCTGCATTTTCCTGATCACGGGCTGGTTGCTGGCCTGTGTGGGCCTGTTTGGGCTGACAGAGGAGGATCTAAGGGCCCAACCCTTATCGGGATGGAGAAGGTAAATGTTTACTTGACCCGCTGCACATAGCTTATGGGACAAAAAATAAATCGCGAGTTTCACTAACTGTTAGTTTAATTGGAGAAATCCAATGTATTGTTAAATTCTAAGTCGATGATAGCGCTCAATTCGAATTGTACATTACGGTTTTTTTTCAAATTTTAATGAAACCGGATTTTCAAAAGTGCATGCTGTGTACAAACAATAATGCTTTATGCATGAGAAAGTAAAGAAAGGTGTTTTGGGGCTGCATGTTAATAAATAAATTAATTGAATTAATTTTAGTTGACAAAAATTGTAAATAATTATGAAAGCTGGCTGTTGGGAGATAATGACACGAGAAGTTCGTTAGTCATAAAGGTTAAGACTCTTTAAAAATATGTAAGTGGGAACAAATTTGAATAAAAAACACGAATGTGCAAACAGACATTTTTATCGTCTTATTACTAGTCGCATGTTCATCTAACCCTGAAAACGTGTTAAACAAATTAGGAATCTTTTGCATTCTTGCTACTTTCTTGTTTCAATGGTTAATAGTCGAACGATTGTTTGGTTTTAATGAACTCGATAAAAATGTATATTGTGCATCTGCTGCTGTTCTACATTCAAAAAAACAAATATTTATTTCATATGTTAAACTTTTTATGAAATGTTTTCTAGCTTTTCCGGTTTAAATCTGCATAGTAATTATGCACGTGAAATTATATGTGCAATAAATAAAATTTATTTCTTTTAGTATAGGTTTTTATCGTTAAGTAGCGATATGGCAAACGACACGCAAATTATATTGATTTGTACATTACCAAGTATAATTTTTAATACTTTGTACGTACTTCACTTCAACCAAAAAATATTTTTAGTGAACTTTATACTATATTTTTTTATGATTGTTGTAAAAATGTTCGTTTTTACTTCCCGAACTTTCATGTTTTGTCGAAGTTTCATGGCCCCTAGAGTATGAAAAATAGGTCTTACATTTCTGTCCGTCTGTCGTCTGTGTTGTGTAAATTTTTATACGTATTTTAAGAATATCATGTTTTTATTTGATACAACCTCTACAACTTTTTTATTTTTAATGATAAACCTTATTATTATCATTTCCGGTGCAACCTGAAATGACACCAACTTCTTTCTTTTTTAATGGAACACTCGGTATATTTTTTGATAGCTATTTGGAAAGTTTGCGTCTTTTACACAAACAATCATAGAAAACCAATATTCTAAAATCAATAATTAAAAAGATTTTTAGTAAATTAAGTCAAAAATTATGTATCCAATTCAAATCTAGCTGCTTGAAACATAAGTGTTTGATACGTTAGTTCGACATTTTAGGAGTTTTAATGTTGTAATGAGCCAAAATAATAACGCACTTGCCAAAGGTTCAACGAATTATACCCAAACAAGAAAAAATTGTTTCGGATATTTTTGAAACAAGTTTTGATATTATAATAGAGATCAGTTTAAAGTCAAGACAAGATTCGCAAATATTACTGAAGATGTTACCAGTTTTAAATTCAATTTTTCGATTTTTAAGTTTCTCGACTTGCTATTTTTTGAGTTTTCAGTTCTAATTTGTTGATTTTTACTTTTGAATTTTTCAATTTTTCGACTTCCAATTTTTCGGTTTTACAATTTTTCGTGTTTGGAATCTTTCAATTTTTAGATATTTTAATTTTCAGTTTTTTAAATTTTCCGTGTTTCCAGTTTTAAATTCTTCATTTTTTCGGTTTTTTAGATCTTTAGTTTTTAATTTTTTTTTCAGTTTTTCGTTTTCTCGTGGTTTTGAATAAAACATCCTATATATTTTTACTTCCCGGGCGTAAGCAAAGGAAGTATTGTAATCCAGTCCGTCTGTCGACTCTCCACTTTTGTATTTTCTCGACCTATCATAACCCCTAGAGGACGAAGAAATAGGTCCCCCGGTCCCCCGTTTCCGTCTGTCTGTCCGTCTGTCTGCCGTCCCGGATTTTTATTAGACAGATAATCTCCGAAAGTACTGGGCCGATTGTTGCCCAGTATTTATATTAGATATATCATGTAGATGGTAAAACTCTAACCAAAATTTGTCTAATCATCCCCACTACTAATGTGATGACGTCACTTCAAAATTGTACAGAGTAATTGGGTTTTAAATTGTATCAAATAGCATAGTCTTACACATGTAGTTTATGACTCCGAATTGAGATTTTACCTGAAACGTCCAGATTTTTGGAAAAAAATCAAAATTAGGAAACAACATTTTGACATTTAATTTGGAATCTACTAAACCGAATGCTTTGAAATCTTGCAGATGGTTTACAGTTATGATAAGCATGATACAATTTTAATCACAATATGTTTACTTATCCCCTCCAAAAAATTGATGACGTCAGCTCAAAAGTTTGCCGAATAAATCCTATCTAAAATGTACAAAATACTTACTTTTAAATTATCATTCCATTCATATTTTTTGTAGTTGCATATACAGGGTGAATCAAAAAAATTAATGAATGCGTAAATTTACTTTATTGATTTACTCAGGAACTACACAACCGAATGCTTTGAAATCTTGGGGATGTTTTAAAGTTATCATAAGCTTGGTAAATTTTTTATCAAAATGTATTTGCTCATCCCCCCTAAAAAATTGATGACGTCACCCCAAAATTTTGCTGAATAATTCCTATCTAAAATATACAAAATATGATGAGTTTGTGACTTATCCTTACATTAATATTTTTTGGATTTGCGGATACAAGTGACCCAAAAAAAATTATCATTGTATTTCAGGAGCGAGGGAAGTTCTGTCGAAACAACTTTCGATTAATTTTTACATATTGTGACTGACTTGTTCTTAGGCTTTACAACCACAGTTTATTTTTTAAATTCCGATGCGACGTTGCCAGGTTATTCCAATTTTCTTGAATTTTTTTAACAATGGAAGGGTTCACAAAAAATTGCAATACGGTTATTCTTAAAGACTGTCCTAGCGTAAGTTAACGAAGTACAAATTGTATATTGGGTGACTGCTACTTTCATATTTTCTCGACGTTCATGACTCCTAGAGCACGAAAAAATAGATCTCCCGTTTCCGCCTGTCTGTATGGTAAGAATATCTTCTTACCATACAGACAGGCCAAATTTTGTTTTTTACCATTTACACGATAGTGTAAATGGTAAAAAACAAAATTTGGCTAGTCATCCCCACCAACAATTTGATGAATTTTTTTTAGTAAATAGCTAACTCCTATACTTGTGATTTATGAATTCGCCTTGATTTTTTTTTTACCTTAAGCGTCCTAATTTTCGCAAATAAATCACTGATCACATTTTATACAAGTATAAGAGCACTGTCGTGCGGTGAACTCCATGAGCGTGTCGTAAAAATGTTGAATTATTATTAACGCGAAGATTGCTGAAATCAAGAACGATTCACCCCATTTTCTGGAAAATTGGAGAATACAATAGTAAAGTTGCGCCCGCCTATATTTAATGACAATAAAATAAAAGTAATAATATTCAGAATTTTTTGCTCCTGACGTCATCTATAGATGATGATATTTCAATTAAGTTCGTTATCAGGATTTTGGACTAATGTTTAAATCAAAGCAAAAAAAAAATAGAAAAGAAAACAAATGAATAGACACGTGGTTGTTATGTTCGGATTACTATATTTTCTTAAAGAAATAGTAATTTTTCATTTATTTTACTGAATAATTTGTTTATTATTAATTTTAGAATACTGGTTGCTTATAATTTTTTTGTGGTAAAAATTCAAGAGACTCATTTACAAAGTATACTGCATGTTCAATTAAAAAAAAATAAGTTGATGTCATGTCCGGTGTATATCAAAATGAGTATTAAAGAATGAGTTTATCATCAGATAAATATTCTAGTAGAATACAAAATTGCCTCAAGAACAAGGGACCTATCTTCAAAAATAGTTGCAGGGGTTGTATTAAATAAAAATGACACTCTGTATAAAGCTCTAACCAGAATTTGTCTAATCATCACTACCAATAACTTAATGATGTCACCTCAAAACTTTGCGTGGTAAATACTATTTTAAATTGATAACATACCATATTCCTGTACTTGTGGTTTATGAATCCGCCTTGACGGGGCCACTTTTTTACAGTGTAACAAGTGTCTATCTGTATATTCTTAATTTATAGGGATCATAAATAAAATTTCTCAATATCAAATTTTATAATTTTTAATATTTAGTATGAATAACATTCAACTGTGTTTCTTAATCGCTTGATGACGTTATGTCAAAGTTTTGATAAGTAAAACTCACTGACGTCTTTATTTGCGCCACACCTATTTTTAATTTAACTTGTGAAGTGCATCTGTTTTTACAATTAGTTTACGAATTATCCTGAAAAAATAAAGTTTCTTTGTTCATCTCCTCCAGAGAACTGATGACGCTGAAAAAAAAATTAAAAATACAGCATCATCCTATTTTTATACAAATTTCCAAAGTCGCATTCTTCCGTTATCTATTGGCATCTGATCATGTTTGAGAACCTATTTAGAACTCTATTTTGGTCTTTGAACAGTAAACACAACTGGTCCTAATTACCAATTTTCCGCAATATTTGCATTAGCTGCACCGCTAACAAAATAGTGTCAGATTATTGTTTCTGAAAATAATTTTTCAACAAATTTTATTTTGAGTCGAGTCATACGTAATACAACGCCCACAAACCGAAACAACGCGGTGTTTATAACTCAAAAAAAAATTGTGAATGATCTGTCGTAAAAAAAATGACTTAAAGATTCTTTTAAAAAAATCTCGTTCACTAAATATAACAAAAATAAAAATGTATTGTTAGAACATAAAATTCGAAATTATGAAACTATTGGACAATTTGTAGATGCAACTTGTTTAGGATTTGTGTTGCTACCAACTAAAGTTAACATTATTCAAAACTGTGGTAACCTGATAACAAAATTTTGCATAGTGCTGCGATAACTTCCTACGGCGACGTACATTGTAATAGTTACAGTTCACAAACATA